TATATATATACATATACGTACGTAATACATATACATACATACATACATACATACATTCATACATATATACTATACATACACACATACATACATATATACTTACATATATACATACGTATATAAACACATACATATATACGTATTACACACATACATACATTCATACATACATACATATATACTTCCACAATTACATATTTACATACATACATACATACATATGTACATACATACATACATACCTACATACCTACATATATACATACATACATACATACATACATACATACATACATACATATATCGTATATGTGAACATACGTGCACTCCATTGCAACTGTACGGTAGGCACTGAGGAGGCTAAAGCGGAGCCGGAGAGCGAACGAGTCATAATCGATGGACAGGATCACACGGCAAAGGTCGCCAAAGCACTCGAGAAGAAACTGCAGAAGATGATGGCGCAGATGGAGGATGAGTGGTCTAAGGTGTGTGTTGTGTGATCTAGGTGATGTAGGGGTAGTTAATATTAACATCCAATGAAATCACTCGATTTCGACCTTTTTTTATACCCCTCTAGGTAATTTCCTTTTTTTTTTTACTGTCAAACCATTTTGGCCACATTTTGAAAACCGTTTTCCGCTGGTCGGCCCAATCTCGTGATTTCATTGTATGTAAATATTATCTACATTTATCAAATTGTTGTTAAGGTTTTGGTCTCGTTTAGTTTTAAATTAAGCTCGTGTTAGCACCTCGTGTTTTGGCTCGGAACTCGTGTCAAATCTGTCGTAAACTCGTTTTGAAACGCAAAGTGCCGCCGTAGCAAAATCAAAACCAAAAAAAAAAACTCGTTGAGTAACTCCGATTTGAAACTCGTTCCTCACCAAAAAACTCGGTGCTAAAACTCATTCAATTTCCAAACTCGATCAAAACTTTTCAAACAATTAGACAACTGTACATTTAGGTAACACATAGGTTTGATAGGGGCTATCAGTGAACCGTGCACAGAGATACTGTGCAGTCCTATGCGTATTTCTAACTGTGTTCATGTGGCTATCCCACCAGTCACCATACCCCCATCCCCGAGTACACGTGGTAGTATGTACAGCTGTCTTTATATACTCACAGTCTCTCAACCACTACACCTCCTAGTCTAATCTAATCTAATCTGATCCATGGCCCAGGTGGAGGCTACTATAGCGAAGAAACAGTTGTTCAGCGATGTGGATGTTGAAGAAGAGGACGTTGAGGCCTTCCTCACACTGGAGCAGATCATCAACATGGGCAGTGGGGTTGTAGACACTGAGGATGCAAGCCGCATCGAGCAGATTGTTAAGGTGTGTGGTTTGTATTTTTATGTATGTATAGACGTGTGTATTGTACGAGTATGTATGTGTGTAGATGTTGTGGGTTTGTTCGTGCGTATATTTATGCACATTTGTATATACACA